CCTACTAAGGGCATCTTTGTAATATCTCATACTTAAGTTAATTACAAATAGAATGAGGGGCTGGCGGCTAGGGTGAAGTTAATCTATCCTAGTCGACCTTCTTCTCTTTTCTTCCCTTTCCTCAGTCTTTTGCTGAAATCCCCAACTTTCTACTCTTCCTTCACAAGAAGCTTGGCCGAAATCAGCACATAAGGTTTTCTACTATATGCACTAAAGGCTTGAGAGTGAAAAGAAAAATACATCTTTGGGTACAAAAGTTTCTCTACATGCTTGCTAAATTGACACACTTCAGATTGAAAACTCAAAGGAGAAATGCATACAAATAGTTTAGGATAAAAAACTAAAGAAATGAAAATGTAATGAGGAAGCCTAGAATGCCATAAACAGATTCTGGCTTTACTAACACTTAAGGTTTGACTACTGAGATTAATAGTAGATTGCACGGTATGTGTCTAAAACAATTAGTTCAGAATATAAAGTCCATTAACTTTATAACTACCACCAATCATCCTCCTCATAATGAAATCCTAAAAGATGAATGATCCTGAAGAAAGCTCAGTTTACAATTTCAGGTTTTTGTGAGGCTAGTGATGGAAAACAAATTTGTGGATAACTGGGGGGCATGAAAAATAAAAGGTAGATTTAGATGAACAGAAAATATAATGTTTCCTTATCTCTTTGATTTCAAAGGTGTGCCTTAGGTTTTCTTAGGCACATAGGTGAGACACATTTCCAGGTATGTGCCTCGTCTAGGCCAAGGCATGTTCCTCATCCCAATCATGCACCTTTTTAAGCATAATGGCATTGGGTTTTCCTCAAGGGGCTTGGTAGAGAGGGAGAGGGCCACTCTTGTAATAATAGGAATGCAAGATGCTTAACATCATTTTGGCTATGAAATAATGCAATCGAGAGAGATATAAGCAGATTTAAAGTTTAAAATGGTTGAATTGTGGAGTTCTTGAATATGTTTTATATAGTATATTTGATTATATTTCTATATTTTCATTTTGAAGATGTTTTATATGTTATGTTTATGTATTTTAGTTTGAGCCAATGGACTTTTTAAATGATTTAATTTCTTTTTAAATTAAAGTTTGCATTTTTGAATTAACATTATTTTTAATTCTTTTTAGATTTGCACCTTTCTTGCCTTGCCTTGTGCCCTGCTCCTTGGGCACAGAAGCGCCTTGCTCTTTTACAACACTGCATAATATTGTTGACGACAGTGCTGGTGTTCAGGACGTGAGACATGAAGGTGATTATTTTTTCTTTGAAGAGGTGAAGGTTGGAAGATTAGGAGTCGACCTTGGTTGAAGGAGCAAGGTTAAAGAGGAGTCAGATATTGGAGTGATAAGTAAGAAACCACGTTGCTCAATAAACCCTAATGTTGTGCATGTGACGGAGATTTTTTCTAGATTGAAGTTTGGTCTGGCTGGATCAGGACCTAGAAAAGACCTGGATTGGTTTTTAAGGGGGAAACGTTGCAGGCTAATCTTTTAGACTCTCATTCGGGAAAGGAGCAATAAGACAACAGGGTGAGTGCTGATGGTCTTGATTCTAGTCCGAGCATGTCGAAGGAAAGTAACGATAATAAGGTTGGTGTTTCGGGATGTGTGGCTATCCAGAATTTAGTGGAAAGAGAAATCACCGTTGGTAAAAGTCTGGATTTAATTTTTTGGGGATGTGAGGAGTTTTTTAGAAGGACCTTTGAAGAGTTTGAAAGAAGACAGGAATAGAAATCGAACAAAAAAGGTCATGAGCTAGGAGGTGAGGCTTGGAACAAGGATGTTTCAGATCAGGAGGATGCGATTGTGGATGAAGACTGAGGCTTCAGTTTGATGAAAATTGTGATTGCGTTTTTGATTGGCTTTTTCATGCTTTTGGTCATCGCTTTAGTCTTGTTTTGATGTGCCTTTTTGTCTGTAAGTTGCGGAGTTTCTGGTTCTGTATGGGGCTCTTGAGGTCTGTTGTTGGGTTGTTTGGTTGTGTTTTTCTTGGGTGATATACCTATAACCTTCCTGCTGTATTTTTTTTTCCGTTTTAATGACATTTTATCTTTATCCTTCATAAAATGATATAGTTGAAATAAGCTATGAGAAATTTTGACCTTGTCTCTGCCAAAAAAAATATAATACATTGAAAATTAAGTTGGACCAATTGAACTTGCACATGATTTGTGGAAACATGGTTGCTTGAATGTAAATAGGGTTTAATTGTATGAAAAAATAGAATGTAAAAAGGGTTTAAAAATTCTGTTTATTACTATGAGGAATTTATATAACTAGTTGAATATGTTGACGATATTGTGGTGGGCTGGTGGCTGGAAATTGTCCTATAGATATTCAGAACTTTAGAACTTTCCTAGCTTTGGAGTAAAAGAAAAAGACGTTGGAGATCTTAAATATTTTCTTTGCATTTAGGTATCCATATCAACGAAAGGTATCTTTTTTTGCTGAGAGTGTATATTCTGCATCTACTTAAGGATATAAGAAAACTGTTTAAGCAACTAATGTGCCTAAAATCCGAATCAAAGGCTCTCATGAAGGAGATTTCTTAGCATATAGTGGTTTTCTTGCTATTATATTGATGCTAATTTGATTTAGTTGGTTGAATTTTTCATTGAATCATGTTACTTATTACCGGTGGAACTCTCAAATTTTGTCGTTTCTTTTTGCCTTTTCTGTTTGGTTGATATTCTAAATTTCTAATATTCTGTTGCCTTTCATTGCTTCTAGTCTTTGTTTGATTTTGTTATCTATTTTTGATTGCCTATCCCTTTTAACTTTGGTGAATGTTTCTCTTCTTCTGGTATTTCCTCTGCTTTTTCATTTTGGTGATTCATACTTGGGTGATTCCTATGTTCTATTCTACCAAAAAAAAAAAAACAAAAAAATTCCTATGTTCTGTTATGCTATTGAGCATTCTCTGATGTTAGTCAATTGAGTTTGTCCTCAGTTACTGTCTTACTGAGGCGTTGATAAGTAATAAATTTGCACTCAACCACTTGTTTTCTTCAGCTTTAGCTCCTGTTCTCAATTTTTAGCTTGCCTGGACATTTGAGTTATCATCTTCTTTTGTTAATGTAGTGATCATTTAGTTTTTTGTTTGGACTACTGATTTTCTGCTCTTCATTTTTCTGTTTCCGCAGGAAAAATGAACTCCATCAAGTAGCTCAACAAGCCTCAAACATTGATGACTTAATTGAAGTTATACGTGCTTCACTTTCAGTTATTCATAAGCAATGGGTCGATGCCATACATACGTTTCATGAGAAGTTTGATCCTCTATCAACTTTGATTATTGACCATGGTAAGTTAGATACTTAACTAATGGGGCAGGTTTTGTCAGGTCATTTAATGAGCTCCCCAAATGATTCAGGAACCTTATTAATGCCAACTTTTTTTGGGGCTTAAGAGGAGTTGCTCATATTCTAATCCTCAAATGGCCCAGGTTTGCTTTTCAGGATAGCCTAAAAATGGAAGTTTTAGAGTTTTGAAAAGGAGTACTGTGACCTACATATTATCGAGGGAGGCATGAAATAAGGAGAGATGAATATACCTCTAAAAGTTCTTGATTGTTATGTTTTAAGGGGATTCCCTATTGTCGAGGGAGGAGATAAAATGTATGCTTTGAAGAAGGTGGATCTTCTTGGTTTTGATGGAAGTCAAACAAATACCTTATGTTTTTTTTTGATAATTGTTTGTTGCTGTTTTGTTGATCATTGGAACTAGATGCAAGCCAAGTGTTATGGAACTGGTGGGTTCCATTGGATGGTTTTACACTTGTATTGGAAGATGATACCTAGGAATGAGGACAGCTACTTGTTGAATCAGAGTGTTTAGGTTACTACATTTCTATAGCTGAATGACGATAAGGGCTTTAGGCAATGTATGTGGGGGATTTTATAAAGTTAGGTGACTGAAGCAAGGAGGGCTATGAATGGCTTACACTAGATGTTAGAGAGACAAATTTGGCAGCAATCAACATAGTTTCTGGATGCATTTTGTATGTCATGTGACCTGGTCAGAGTTTCTACTAGGTGTGTCCTTGGTGCTAGAGGCTTTGGAGGGGCTATAACTAGTGAAGGAGCAGATATTGTTGGTAATTGTAGACAGTGGAAATAGGGAGGACAGGGTATTGTTTACCTTCCATAGAAAACCTAGAGCAACAGATGGGGGTGTTGGGAGATAATAGGTTTCTCTCTTAGGAGAAATTTGGGGGGGGGGAGTGGTATATAGGATGTAAGAGAAAGGTTTAGGGGGAACAAAAAGGAGGATGAGGGGGGTAATCGGTCAAGCAACAGTGGAGTAGGAGCTGCCACTGATGACAGAGATGGCTTTGTTTGACAACTTGAGAATGGGGTTGTGGTGGAATCAAGTGACCAGAGATCTTCTTTTGATGTGATGGGACACTTCTTAACCATTTGATGAAAGCTGAGTGGGGGAGTCTTCCTCCCATTCAAGCTGCCCACATAGAAGAGGGGGCTTCGGGATAGTAAGAGATGGGGTAAAAGCAAATTCAAATTTCAAAATGATCAAATGTGTGGTGATACTATGGAGATACAGGGGGAAGGGTTGGAGGCCATTATCTAGATAGTAGTAAAGTGAGCTCTTGGCTCATGGGCTTGACCTGAAAGGAGACCAAATGGGAAGCAAGGGAACCCAACTCAAAAAAAAAAAAAAATCTATGGGTGGAACAGTGAAGAACAAGGGGTTGGTTAAGCCAAGGTAGAAGGTGGGCTACAAGTCTATTCTAGAAGGAACGGTGATACTTCAAAGGGAATCACTAATAGGGCTTCAGATAAGTTAGAAGGTGACAAAGTGTGGAGGTTGGTGTTGAAGGTAGGGGTTGACAAGGTGCTAGGGGGATGGAGGGTGCAGATCCATTAGTGCCGAGATTGTGTCGTGGCCATGATTGCCTTGGTGGGATTAGTGGGTGGGGGTAAGGGTGCATCTTGGACAGGCTCATGTAGTCATGTTGAAAATTTTAATTTTGAATGGGTCTGGCCTGAAAGTCTGGACCTAATGTTTAATTTCCTTAAACAAAGTATCCAACTTACATCCCTAAGAGGGGAAGTTCACATAATTTGGAGAATTGTGATTGGAGTGGAGAAACATTTCTAGGTGAGTCTCTTATGAAATACAATAGGAATGGTGACTGGCAAGGGGGCGGAAAAGGGGATTAACTAGTTATGCTCTACTTCCCATCTAGATGGACAATTAGTTTTTAGCTGCCTAGTTGAATTGATTTGCTTAACTGAGGTGATGGGGGTAAACCCCTAGCTATGCGGGTAAGTGATGAGACGATAACACCCTTACCCAAGGGGCATATGGTGAGGCAATGACAATTCAAAAGTTATCTTGGGAAGATGAAGTTGATGCACAAGATTGGGAGCTTCACCAAAGGGCAACAAGTATATTAGATTGGGTAGGGGCAAGCATTATGAGTATCAGTTAATTTTTTCTTTGCACTCTTCTCAAGGTGTCTAACAGCCAAATGAAGGCTGCTTTACAGCTAGTTTGATGCTTGAACAATCAACAACTGATCGTGCTTACTAGTAGGTTATTTTCCTAACAATAAGTTTTGCTAATACTAACCATTGGTTGGGGAAAATGGTCAGAGCAATAGGGATTAACGTCTCAGCCTTAATTTTCCTTTTATTTGTGCTTCAAAAAACCCTAGAACAATCCCAATTGTATTGCGAAAACACATGCACTATGTTTCCTGACCAAATTGTCCTACTAGTTAGCTAGGATAAGTTCTATTGTAACTATAACTTTGACTCTCAACAAACCAGACTGAAGAATCCTTCTCCAACTCATCAGTAATTGCTCCAATATATCCAGGTATTAACCCTAGAAGGATCTTGTTGATAGGCATTTCAAAAAGTAGACATTATAAAAAATCTGACATAGCACCACTATCAAGTCTGGGGATTGTATGCAACAATCCAGATATTCCACTAATTACAAAGTGAAGGATCTGCTAGAAGTGACCCAGTTGAGCATTTCATAACTGCCTGTACTGATGCTTTGGGTCTAACCCTAGCAATTTAGACAAAATGCTCCTTCACATAAGGCAACTTGAGTGTGCCATCCTTAACAAGATGAACTACCTAGGCTGATCCACCAGTTGGGAACATTTAGATAACATATCTATTATGAGAATCCCAGATAAAGGATCATAATCCTATAATATAGATCAAGATTATTACACAGAAACACACACATTGACACATACAAATATATAAGAAACTGATTATATTCAAAAATAAATGCAGTATACATGAATATTGGACTTGAGGGCATATACCCGAATAATTCTGAGTATCAATTATTTCCAGGGGGTCTCCTTGGAGTGCCATGAAAAGGAGGTTATGGTGCTTGTTTCTAGCCATTAAGTGAAGGAATGTGGGTGGAGGAGAGGAATTAAATGTGCTCTTGAAGAGGAGGCTAAAGATGAGTAGGGAACAATATAGATTGGCGTGGACTTTTAATGAATGGGGTGGGTAATAGAAGGGGTTGGTTGAGTAGAGAAGGGGGAGACGTGTGGAAGAGAGGAAGAAATCCATCTCGATAAACCATGAATATACTATCCTAGAATGTAAGGCATCTGAAAGCCCCTAATAAAGGAAGGGAGATTTGGGAAGGGAAATGATGTAAATAGCCCCTTAATAGGACATACAAAAATAGATGGCACAGTAACACTATTTTTTGTACAATTTTGTGGCATTTGTCCCTCCCTACTAACAAGTATATACTTGCACTTATAAAAAGAAAGTTTACTAAAAGATTACATATCGATCTAATTGGACTGTGGGATTGGTGATATTGCCGATCTAGTGGGTCCTGAGTCTGATAGATGGTCTGAATTGCCTTCATGGTTCTTCATACCTGTTGGAAATATTGCAACCGTGTTTGGAAGCTCTGACGTCATAGGAAACCGGTTTTTTCATACTAGTGTAAGAGCATGTGATATACACGTGTGCAAGTAACCATATATGATATATGGCATTTGGATTTAATTATTATGTCTTGCATGGAACCCAAGGCAAATATCTGCTTTATATAATATTGACATTATATTTGGTTATTCTAAGTCACTGTTTTCTTCCATATAGGATTGGACTCTTGCCCTCAAGAGGAATTCTTAAGTCTTCTGGGTGGTGCTCGAACAAGTCCACCAGTTCATCAATTTTTGGTCAATTCTCTCTGTGAAGTGGTATAACCAACTTTCTTGTTGTACATATAATTACGTTAATGTATTATTCTACATTAAACATGTCTGATTAACTGAAATTCTAAATAAATTAGGGTCTCAAGCGTGCATCAAAGGCTATTCATAATGCTGGAAAAGAACTGCATCTTATCATCCAAGAGCACCTGCAGGTGAGTAGTTATTTTTATATACATTTGTACGTATATATGTAGGTAATTGGTCTTAGAAGGGCTAATTGAAAGAAATCAGTCCTTTATGTTTTCCAAAATGCTAAAATCAGTTTCAATGTGGAATATACAGTCAAAAAAGCCTATAAGGATGGGAACTTAGTTCTGGCTTATTTAAACACAATATAAATTAATATATCTTTAGAGGGAATGACCCAAAATAATAAACATTAATTGCAGCATAAATGAATTTAATTGGCAAATAAGAGATAGGGAAGTGAAAGTTGGTGGGTGAATTTGTGGCCATGGAAATGGAAAAACGATTTTGTTTCTCTTCCTTATTTCTTTTGAATGGCGGTGAATGCATATTAATAAATGGGTCGTCATTTCAACAACTTTGTCAATTCCCATGAAAATATTGGCTAATATGGTATTTAATTTAAAAGGAACTTATTCATACATACTTTAGTAATTTATTTTTCATAGATTGAGGTAACATACATATGTGCGTATATATTATATTATTATAAATAGTTCTTTACTTATGAAATATTAATTATAGAGGGGTCTACTAACTTGGGGCCAGTGAAAGCTTGTCTTACACTGCCAGTTCCAAGCCCGGATGAAGGAGGGTTTACATCATGTTGGCTACAAGCACTAAAATTTTTTGCCCCACTCTTACGCTCATGAATGTTGTAGCTTGACCCCATATAGTTGGACAAGGCTTGGATGATGGTGGCGATGATCAATTATGGGGACTCTATTCTCTATAAACACATATATAACCTCTATTAATTGGTGTAGAGAGATTGGGCCAAGTGGGCCTAATTTTTATTTCTTTATTCATTAGTTTTGTTTCAGCTGTAGTGGGCCTTCTTTACGGGCCTTAGTACTTGTGATTTCTTATGTTTTTGAGTCAGCTGCCTTAATAGGGGCACTCATGTAATTTTCATCTTTTTAATCTTCAGCATATATCATTCAATTGAGGGATAAGGGGGGAGAGAGAGAGATGATCAACTCTCTTCCTCTTCCCCTTTTCTTCCATTCTCTTGTTCGTCTTTCTTTTCTTTTGGTTTAATTTTAGATTTGTTGTTGGTGTGATTTGAACTTGGTATCAGAGCAGGTCCCCATCTTCAGTTTCTTCCTTTAGGCCCATACACAATGTGTATGGAGAATTGACTGAATGACAAATTCATTTCTTCTTTTGCACGAATGATGGTGGCACCTACAGCGGATCTGCCCCTTTCCGTTGCCTCAGTGATTCGATCCTCTTCTACTTTCACTCTTCTCATCCCTGAGGTTTTAGATCTGGAAATCAATTCCCTACTTTGAAATGTGGTGAACCAGTGATCCTGTTCTCTGAGGAAGAGATCCAACATTCAACAATCCCCTTGTAGCTTTCCCTAGTAGCCAAATGCTCATATGACTGACCTCCATTGATGGAGTTAAAGAACTTTCTGATAGGGACCTTCAAATTGAAATGAAATCTGGTAATCACATTAATAGACTCACGACAAATGCTGTTTCGGTTTGAAGATGAGTTTTTATGAGTTTGGTTGAGGGAAGCTTTCTACATGGGAGGCTATTTGTTCAGGGTTTTCAAATAGTCGCTGGACTTTGAGATGGGTAATGAACCTTTGATTGTTCCGATATGGGTTTCCTTTCCACGACTGCCTCTGAATTTCTACAATGAAAAATATATTTGATCCATAGCACAGGTTGCAGAAACGGTGCTAAAAGTTGATCAAGCAACATTCTCTCTAACCTAAACCAATGTGAAAAGGGTGTGGATTGGATCAAGGAGAGATGGATTTTAGCAACCTATAGTTTTTGAAGATCTGCCTAAATATTGTGGCTTCAGTTGCGAACAAGGACACCAAGAAGACAACTACAGACAATAAGAAATCAGAAAAACCTGAATCCACGGTTGTGGTTCAAGCCAAAGTAAATGAGGAGTTGGTGAATGAGTTACAAGGCCTGCATGAGTTTCTTTTATTTTCTGACAGTGAATAAATAGTAGGAAACCTATCACTAAGGGGAATCTCTCCAATCCAAACATCTTCCCAAAACAACACTTTGTTTCTTATACATGCATCAAATTTGAAGGAAGGATGGAAGGAGAAATACCATGAATAGCTTTCCAGGGAGAACATCGAGAAGCCCTAGGGTTTACTCCCACATCCCAACCATTGTTTGCCAATCCATGTATGTTGCCAATCACTCTATGCCATAGTCTATCCTGTTCCAATGGCCACCTCCATAACCATTTCCCCAATAATGTTGTGTTTCTCATCCTAACATTTCCCATCCCTAGGATAGGTTATGGGGACTCAATACAGGCTGAATTTCTAGCCCTACTTCAGGGTCTAAAAATGGCTGAGCAGATAGGAACAACAGGCTTAGAAATTGAAGGAGACTCACTATCGGTCATCTCTTGGGCCAAAAACATCACATTAGTACCTCGGAAGCTCAAGTTTATTTTCAGAGAAATTGACACACTTGCAAGGAAGTTCAACTCTTAGTTTGGTTGGGTCAAAAGGGATGCAAATGGGATGGCGGATACCCTAGCAAAACAAGGGGCAAATAGATCTTCATTGTATTGGGTAGAATTGTAACTGATTGCTGGAGATTGCAATTTATTCCTCTGCAATCTTTATCTATTGTATCTTAATTTCTCTGTTATTAATGAAAGATTTTTACTGATAAAAAAAAAACATTTCCTATCCCTAGGCCTTCATCTCTACTTCTAGAAACTACCTCCCACTTCACTAGGTGATCCTTCATAGTCTCCTGGTTCCCAAAGGAAGTCCCTCATGATCTTCTCTTAACTGCTTTGCCACTTTCATTGGTATCCTAAAGGTAGATAGGAAATACACAAGTTAGCCAATGTTGATTTAATTAGAGTTACCCTACCTCCCAAGGAAATGTAGTTCCTTCCTATTCACAAGTTACTTTGTAAACCACTCAATCATTGGATTCTAGAAGCTCTCTATTTTTGGATTTCTTCCCTTCCAACTCTCCAACCTTTAATCATGTTATTAGCATCTACCCTTACAATCATTTCACTTAGGACATCAGCTACCAAGGGAGGACATTCATTATTCTTAGGGCCAACACCTTAGATAAGATTTTATACCTGCTTCCCACCATACTTATTGGCCTAAAATCCTTCGGTTGAATTGTATCCACTTTCTTTGGTATCAAAGCAATGAAAGAATTCATCAAAAACCTCCATCAGATCATCCCCAATTATCTCCCAATAGTCTTGATAGAATGCCACTCACCATTTCTTCCTATCCTTCCTTGCAACACTTCCTTTATCATAATCCACCTCACACTTTAGCTTTTCCACCTCACTTAACTTTTTCTTTCTCTTCTCTAACACACCATCTCCCCTCTTCCTAGGCTTCTCTAATTTCTCCTTCCCCTTTTTCTTCTTATTTGAACCTTTTTTTTTTCTTTTTTCCCCTTTCCTGTTTTTAACCCAGCTCTTGTCCCCTCATCACCTTTGACTTCACAATCCAACCTAGGACTTGGAGTGTCACCCTCCTCATCCCTTTTTTCTGCTCCTCATCTCTTCCTCTACCCAAATTCTGAATGGTTCCATAATAAGCTCCCATACTGTATCTCCTATCTCCCTGTCTTCATTATCCAGCAGTAGATCACCAATCACCTCTTTTTCTTGCACCTGATCACCCTGATTGGCAGATAGCAAGGATGGATTAGTCTCCCCTATGGGCACAATTCACAAGACTAGATGGAGGGTAACAAACGTTGGGGACAAGGAAGAAAGTTGAAACAGGAAGGGTCTACCAGAGGATTTGACAAAGCTTGAACTCCAACAGTTGAGTTTAAATCGGAGGTGTTACCTTTACAACCAACCTCTAGACAGTTATCCTTGGTGTGTAAGGCTTATTTAATTGTTACTGTATAGTTGCTGTTAGTAAGCCGACTTCTTAAGATACTGTCAGTTAGGTACTTGTCTTTTTTTTTATTAGTTTGGTTCTAGGGTGTGCCGCCAGGGGCATACTTGTAATTTCTATTCTTTCTATTAAGTTAATATAAATAGAGAACTTGCGGCAGCCAGCAGTATCTTCCTTCCTTCTTAATCGTATCTCCCTCTTCTCTTCCTCTCTCTCTCTCTCTCTCTCTCTCGTCTCCCACTCTCCATGAAAGATTACATGGTATCAGAGCAGATTTTCTGGGCTGTAAAAGACCTACGATCCCTCTTGTTTTGAGCAAGGTTTCCTTCTTTAAATTCTTGGACGTGGAAGACAGAGAAACCCTAGTAGGTTTTTTGGCGTTGTTATGATTCGGCCTGCCTTGGAGTTCTATTTGTCTGAGATCAGTCACGTCTCCCCCTTCTCTACTCAACCAACCCCTTGGAGTTCCTTGAGGGTTGGTTTTTTGTTTGTGGCTGTTGTGTAGTTGTGTGGTGTTTGGACTGGTTTTCAGCAGTATCCTATGGCGAGTTATGAAACAACCTCATCGGGGGTTACATCAACCCGCAACACAGCTGGTATGGGAGGTGAAAACATGATTTTTCCCATGCCAATTACCCCTTTAAATGGTCTGAACTACCTGGAGTGGGCTAAAAGCGTAAAACTCTATGTAACGACAAGGGGTAAAGCTGGTTACAATAATGGAAGGGTGAAAGAACTCAAGGGTGAGACAGTTGAACATGATAGGTGGGACCAAGAAAATAGTATGATGATGTCTTGGCTCCTCGCAGCCGTGGAACCTGATGTGAAGAAGAACTTTATGTGGGCAGACACTGCTAGTGAGATTTGGGAACAGGCCAAAGCTACCTATTCTGGGCAAAGGCATTATGCCAAGGTTTACCAGTTACAAGCTGAATCTTCAACCTGTAAACAGGGRARCYRTAGTTTGTCTTCATATTATTCAGCCCTTACCTCCATATGGAAAGAATTGGATCATTATCAGGCCATAGAGTGGAAACATTATGATGATGCTAAGGCCTACAAGAAGCCGGTCTCTCAGTA